TGCTCACGTAAACACTATCCACATAAAGCATCTATATGCGCCTTTGCCGTATTTTTTCTTCTGTTAGAAATCAAGAAAACGGAAATTCTCGTGCATTTGCCAAAGTAATGCTGTGCCGTTCCCACATAGGTAGTTGTATAGCACATGCCCGTAGAAGTACAGACTCAAATTTTCAGCTCTCTACAAGCTTTAGTTCTCGAGAAATACCGAATATAGCTTTCCCTAGTTAGGTGGTCCAAGCTAAAATTCAAATACCGAATATAGCTTTCCCTAGTTAGGTGGTCCAAGCTAAAATTCAAATTTCTCGAGAACTAAAGCTAGTAGAAAGCTGAAAATTTGAGTCTGTACTTCTACGGGCTTGTGCTATACAACTACCTATGTGGGAACGGCACAGCATTACTTTGGCAAATGCACGAAAATTTCCGTTTTCTTGATTTCTAACAGAGGAAAAAATACGGCAAAGGCGTATATAGATGTTTTATGTGGATAGTGTTTACGTGAGCAAGTAAAAATTTCTGTAGATTTTTATGAACTGAGTTACGATTTTTTTCGATTTTTCGAGCCGCTAGGTTTTTTTAGTTTTTGGCTCGGAATTCGAGGTAGATGAGAGCTGTCGCAAAAGCAAGATGGCCATATTGTAGAGCTTGCTTTGCTCTATCGAATGGTGCTCTGCATCCTATTTAGAAGTGAGAAGTGTGTAAATTATTGAGATTGAAATTCGAAACGGGCATTAATTTCCGGACAACCTAATAGTTCATTCTTCAGAAAATAGATTTTTTTACTTGTGACATATTTTAGAAGGCATACTGAAGGGACGGCACTTTTTTTTCGCGCTCTACACAATACCTATTTGAGAGAGTTCAAGACAGCTGAAAGCGTAGTATACCATTTCTAATTACCACATTCATTTGATAGGACAGTGCAAAAGGTTCTTTCGTGTTTTGAACACTCTTGCAAATCTCGTAGCATAAAAATAAACTCTTGGATCATGTCCACGCAAAATTTCTACATCTTGGATTTATGATTACAAAGTCTGAAGCTCAATCGATAAGATCTTTTAAAATATTTTACAGCTAACCAATCGTCCACCAGAATCCCAGCAATGTTGTGACTTGTCGAGAAAAACAACCTTGTTTACATTAAGAAAACTTTAGTAACATGGAAGCTACCACTCGAGCACAAGTCTTTGTTTCAAAGGTGAGAAGAAGTGATTAATAAACTTAATTGGCGTTAGAAAGGCAATAATAAACAGTATAGGCGCTGACAATGCAGGTTGTGAGTCCAGTTCAAGAAACGCTAGAATGTATTCCTACTTTGGTACACATGTGATTTTACCAAGAAGAATTAAGTTCATGTTTTTTAGTTTTGGAGGGTCCGTACTTTTTCCGCACCCTGTGATTCTTTTGGTGCAACCGTAATTTTACAACTTCGTAAGCGCTTTATGTAGTTCCTGAAAAACACCAACTGCGGGTCAGCAAAAGTCAAAAAGCGACTATATATTTTTGATAACCTAGCAATAAATCACAATAATTCGTAAGTTTTTTTGAGCCATTACCAATTTTCCTAGAGTAAATATAGGCAAACAAATCAAACAGTGTTTGAACTTAAAAATCATCCTTTCGTTTGACAGCCTGTGATTCCAGTATGTAGTTTTCTTTTCAAGAGGAAATTCCTCCAGTTTACCCTGTCCAGTACGTTATGTTCTTCTAGTCTTTACTTCGTCCAGCTAGCAACGCGGCTCCACCCGGCCTTATCAGTACAATGTAATAGAAATCACATCCCCATTTTCATCAGCATTCCTCTGTCCAGGTCGGGTGAGTGACATCATGAACGATAGCATGTGCCAGCCGTTAGATGGGCACCGTACGCGGTGCGCTGAATGCTCCGCCCCCTGGTTAATTAACATCGAAATGCGTTGCCTTTATGGGGAACGCTCCCGTAACGTTACCCGAGCTTTATGTTAATGCAGATTTGAATCTATGCAGTAGATTGCAGTTTGAATGATTCGAGAATCATCTTACGGGGTTATTCTTTACTAGCTGATGACCCGGTCTCGCCCGAGACTTTTAGTTCAACCAAGATGGGGTAGAAGAACGAAATCCGCCAGTTTGAAACATCTCCGCGGACTACTGGTCCTGCAACCACAAACAACAACATTTCAAAAGGACCAGTTGCCAGCAAACGCGGGCTCAAACTGGCGGAGTTCGTTCCCCCCTACCCACCAAAATGTCATCGGCTCCCAGATTCGTGCAGAGGAGAATTGCGCACTTTCTTGATTTTCTGGACAAACTTGTTAATCCTCCACGTTTTAGCACTGTGTTTCGTACTTTCTCGTTGAGCTTTCCTCAAAACCAGTAAAGTTCGCAGCCCGCCTACACAATCTGGAAGCTGATCATACTTACACTTTCTAACTTCTACAATGCGCAAAAAACGCTTTGAGACGAACCCGCTGATCCTGTCGACCTTGAGATCAGAATGAACTTTACAACCCTTGCTTACATGTTTATTGGAAAATGATTGGTTGGAGCACGTCTAACTTTCATTTTCCCAGATTTAAGTAAGCAAATCAATAAATCAATGGAAGGATCCTGCGAATCGCCTCAAAAAGTAGCCATAAACCACCGCCGGGGTCGAAAACATATGGTGCGAAGTTTCAGCTCAATTGATTCAATGGCTGGCGTTTCTATAACGAACGAACAACTAAACGAACATCCTCACAGACATAGAGTTTTATATATATATATAGATTTTAAAGTTTTTGCATGCTTTTTTGGCTTATGTCATTTTTTGTTCTAAGTAGTTGGTCTAAATTTATCATTCCGTTAGAGCTTCGAGAAAAATAGTGTCAAAAATGCTTGAAAATGTATGAATTTACGCTATTTTTAATGACCTATTTTATCATATACTCTAGCAACTTCGTTTGCAAAGCAATCAGGTTGTCAAATGGAAAATTCTATTGCAAAAACATCTGTCAACACGATCTACTTTTACTGAAGAGTGAATTTCAAAACCGTAATTATGACTGAAAGCAGATTCTATACCCTCTAGCATTTATCGGACCAAAAAATTACAGCTGGTGGTTCTTGTTCCAAGCGCAGCACTAATAAGCGCAAAACATTACCTTTATGTATTGTATGATAACATATTCGTTGCAAATGGATGAAATTGTGATTTTCCAGATTTCACTCTCAACTTGTCTAGGAAAAGCTGCATTTGTTCCGTCATAATGTTCATTTCCACGACTATCAAATTGCTACATTATAATAACTGGTATAAATAATCCCACTCGATAATATTTTGAGCGATCAGAAACCAGTTTTAGCAAAACTTCGGCCACAACACTTGAATTCATTAAAATATAAACCCACTTCACTTGTTAATCCTTCTGTGAATCTGCTTTAACGAAGCATATCCATGTGTAGTTTCCAAAAACTTTACTTTCGGATCAAATGGATTGGTGATTTGAGCGAAACTGCGTGTGAACTTTTTCCAAGGTATAAGGCCACTCACAATCAGGCAATTTTGCCTAAGGTGTTCTAGATGGGTCACTCATGAAGAAAATCAGCAAAACGCCAAGTACCAAGACAATACCACAGTAGTCTTGATACTTGGTACCATAATCTCACGAAGTCGCAAATTAACAACAAAACGATTCCGTAAAATCAGTCGAGCTTTTCCCTGATTTGAAACAAGTTGAAACAAGCTCATAGAACTATGGGAGCTGCTTTCAGTAGACCAGTAGACATTGCGATGAATCACTACCAAAGTTGTAGTGCAGAAAACTCGTCCATCCAGCAATAGGCGGGGCTAACGGTGCTCACCTTACTGACACATGCCTGCCTAAGCGCGCGCTATCTTTCATAAAGTCCGGCACCCGTCCCGGTCCCACTACTACATGCCAGTACCCTGCCTCCACTATAATTTAGTAAGCAGCATGCTCACTCACCTGCCAACCCACACCCCTGTGTCCAGACATTGCGAAAAATTGATAAAATCGATAAAATCGATAAAAGTATTCGATAGCACTAAAAACTGATGAAATCGATGATAACGACGATTCTAAAAAATGATATTGAGCCCAGCGTCAACTTCCTCCGCAACTCGACTTTGCAAGAATTTAATCAATCGATACCGATCAGTGAGTCAAAGTAGTATATGTCTCTCTCCAGCCCCGCCCCGAAGTGTATGCGAGCAAAGTTTGGGCCGCATCGGTTTCAAAAATGGAACTTTCTTGGAACGATAAGATTGTCGAAGGAATTTTGATAACCATATAGGCTTTCTTTAGAAAACTTTCCTAATTTAATGGTTTTCTCTGCAATTCTGCGACTGATCTTCCAAGTTTTTTAAATTTTGGAGTGCCAATATTTCAAATTCAGTCTATTGAAACTCGTAAAATATCAAGTATTAGTCTAGAAACTGTTTAGATCTTCCTACTTTGATAGCTACTCTTGAGCTGCAATATATGCAGTATTTGTTGACGAAAACAAATTTTGTCAATTTCAAAAGCGCGCAACAGCTCAGACAAACGGCGGGAAGTTCCGGCGAACATTGAAGAAAGTTCCGGCGGGTCACCTGGGGAACTCCATTGTAAGTTCGTGGGAACTCCATTCTAAGTTCCTGGGAACTTCAGCTCTGAAGCTCTCGGGTACTCCATAAAAGATTATAGTTCGCCGGAACTTCGTCCTCCAAAGTTCTCGGGAACTTTGCAAAAGACTGTAGTTCACGGGAACTTCATTAGTTGAAGTTCTGGGGAACTTCTTGCTTGATCCCTCGGAACCCCAGCTAATGACCACTTCCGATGCGATTGCTATAGAGAACATCTATATATTTATTAACGATGAAATGTACATATTTATTAACGATGACATGTTTGTTTAACACTTAACATAAAGACTTCATCGAATAACTACAGTAACTGTACTAACAACTATACAGTACATATACACGTAACGAGTATTCATATATCAACACAAACATTGATAAAAGGATTGATATTGTTCTCACTGGCTGCCTAAGTTCTCAATGCTGACGTCTAGGTTTGCTTTCCAAGCCTCCGTGCTCATTGCCTCTTTGTCAGTGCGTCCAAGTCCGACAAGGACACCCTTCGATTTCTAAAAATATATATATATATATGAATAGAAATGGGAGGAAGCGGATTTTAGCATACCTTCGGTGGAACAAGATGACCTTCGTGGAGGCGATAATAGCGCACATCTTCCCTAAAAATAGAAACTGCCTTTTATGATGGCGTTATGTAGAAGTGGTGGACTTACAGCGCTTCAGCAATGCATGTTTTTGCGCTTACACTCCATTTTGACTTCTTTTCCAGCTTTGAATTGAAAACTTTTTCACGTCCCTGCTCGTTTTCAGCTAACGACAACCAGAAACTAAAAAAAATTTTCAGCGCCTAAAATGCTTATTGTAGATATAGACAGCACCCGTTCTGTGAATTTTTCAGCAGATGCAGCCTCGATCCATAAAGTTCGCTGTGGTTCAGATCCAAAGCGTCCAAAATGAACTCTAAATGTTTTGTAGCTTAACCCCTTTCAGATGTGAATTACCTTTACCTGTAAGCCCATCAACAATGGAGTCGGGTAGATTGATTATATCCGTCCTTCGAGCAACTTTTGAAACACGATACGCGTAATCCCAGATATCAGAAGGATCGGGTGCGCAGATCTAAGTGTAGGTTATGTGGTAGTCATTTTGTATCCGGAGTTAAATACGCACCTCCTTGAACAGATTTCGTAGAAAGTCGATGACTTTGCTGGTGACGTCGTTCTCTACTCTTTTTGGAGGGGCGTACTTTCGCAGGAATTCATTCAAATTTACTTCCTACAAACAAAATTCGGCGATTTTTTGCAACAGTTTGTGTCTACATACCTTGAATGGCGGCTGAGCGCGAATGAGGTGGTCTTGTCTCAGGTTTTCGTACTTAAATTCGCTTGACGTGTCGGGGAGAGGGCGTTTGACACTGAGGATCTGCTTCAGTCTGTCTATTTCATCCTCCAAAGCTCTGTTTTTTGTCAGAAGCAAGTTCATCTATATCGCGAACGTTTTTCATTTCTTTTTAAAGTAGTTGTAGTGAATCTCGCCTCGACACGATGCGTGATCGCTATTTCCACGAGCAAACGATTTGTTTCGGCGGTGTCATAGAAGTTGCCTAATCGCGAGCGCTCCGCACTTTGCACCACACGAGAGATATCTGCCATGTCGAACTGTCTGACTGGTCGAATGCAATGGTGCAAGGTTTCCTATGAAGTTCTACTTTCGAAGACCACCGCCACGGAAACGCTACGTTACCTGCATGGACACAGAATTCAGCGATCCTCCTCTTGCAAGCATTGCGTACAGAGCTCCGGAAAAATCGGAGCTACCCACTTCGCGCGCAAGACAGCTTCTTACAGCTTCTAAAAATCTGCCAATTTTCTACTGTGCCGTTTGTTACGTTTGACAGACCTAGCGGCTCGGACAGCGCAGGTGGTGGTGTCTGCGGTGGTGCGCGTGCAGAGTGCGCGTTCCTTTCGGAGTCAACTAAATGGAACGCATTCACAGCGTTCGTACGCAAGGAAATTTTCACTCACATTGAAGTGGTTGCGATGGAGTTCTACACTCCTCCGCATAGTCGAGTGAAATGTCGAACGGGCTTTCTACATCGTAATCCTATGAAGAAACTAGCCTCAGATTTATCCAGTCATTTAATATCAATCTATAGCTTATCAACTTTTTTAAAGCTGGTGTTACGGAGCTAAAAGTGAGTACGCAGGGAAACTTCCAAACTCTGACATGAGATGCTAAGAAGCTTATTACTGTAGCGAGCACCCTCACTCCCCTGGGTCTCCCGCCCCGTGGCTTTGAGCTTTTTTAGAAAAGTGAAAAACTGATAAAAGGCACTATCTATTTCGTGATCAGTACCCTCACCTACCCCTGAGTAGCAACTCCCAGCTACATAGTCGTAAAAACATTTTTCCCCACTCATTCCCTCCCCTTTTCCTTCTATACTCATAAAGTATCTATATCAACCATTACTGTTGAGCGACTTCCACCCCCTTCTTATTCTAACCCCAATATGTGAACATACTACAACTTACTCTATTCGTGGGCCTCAGTGGACGAAGTTCCGTATACGTACGCCTCGGTGTAGATGATGACGTGGAAACAGGTTTTCATCGGCCATAGTAACTAAACATACTGCAATGATAGAGATCAAGTTGACATGAAAGCTAGCTCACCGGATTTTCTTTCGCCACTAACTTCCGTCGGAATCTGGAGATGAGCTTTAGCAGGCAGAACTAGACGCAAAGCTCAAGTAAGATGCGGAGAGTACGCTCACAAGTGATGCACAGCACAAAGCATAGTACAAAGCAAAGTTTTAATGACAACAATTACAATACTTGTAGTTCTACAAATCTATATGCGCAACGCAAAACTCCTACATCTGATATCGATGAATACGGCTGGCCTAACAATATCAGTAGTATTAATCCACTTTAAACCATTGGAATGTACCTCATGGAAGTGTGTATTACTTTGAGAAACCAAGTGAATAAGTCGTGAGGCGGAATCAGTGTTCTCCAATGTTTCCAGCGTTTGCGCAAGGTTTGAAAATGGATTTGTTGTTGGAAAATGTTCGATGAGGGCAAATGATGTACGTGTAAGCATGTGAAAGCTAATCAAAAGCAATTTTCCGTAGGAGATATGCGTCGAGCCATTCAGAGAAGTTCTTAGCTGGAAACAAGAACTATCCGTGTCCGCAGGCCTTCGCCAGTATTCTTTAGAACATAAAACCATTTCTCCAATCACCACGCGCGAACTGTAATCACGCATTGTCAACTGAGAAGCATACCTCACAAGGAAACTCCTCCACTCACTATAATTTTACACCGTAAAGATTGATGTGGTGGCGACGAAGAATTGTTCGGTGCGCCTCTGTAAGCGTTTCTTCACTTACTTCACTATTTTCGGGAACATAACAGCCGGCGGCAAGGTTCACATGCGGAGGAAATTTTAAAGAATATTTTTTTGTTCATCATAACGATAAGACAAAACAAAAGCCTTGCTAGCCTTTTCTTATCGTTTCGCATATCACTGAGCAGTTTTGAAAAATTGACTGAGTGATTTCGGCTCGTGGTTCTTCCAAAAGCATAATCAGTTTTTTCATAACGACAAACCTGCATTCAAGGGTAGATGAAGACTAAAGGCCACGTTGTTCTTACCGCTCAAGGATTCTAGCATCGCAATTGGTCACAAACTGATTGTGTGGCACTTGCAGGATTCGATGCAATGATTCAAAGGGCGCTGCAGACCATAGATAAGGGCTCCCGTACTGTTCTATTTCTTCCATGACGCAGTGGTCGAAAAGATTCTGAAGAAGTTTTGCTTGCAGAAATCGGTCAGCTAAGAAGAGAAGTAAAGGATTGAGGGAATCTACTACCAGAACCTACGTGCGCCTTCAGTGTAAATATTTCTTGGGAAATATGCGCCCATATTTCTTTTACAAGGAGCATTATAGACTGAATAACTCGGATGTTCGTAAGATTCAAGTCTCCCACACTTTGAAGTTCTTTCAAGCAAAACCAATAACCGACAATGGAGGCGGCACATAAAGCAGAAGGGCACAATACCACTGCTCCGATTAGCGGGAACAGAACGTTTGCGAACTAAAAAATGATAGGATTGAGCGGAGAGTAAAGACCGAGCAAAAGACAGCAGATTTATCATGTCTACTTCAGCTCCAGTCATCGATGGTAGATCTTCAAGACAAAGGACAAATTTTGAACAGTATGTGTAGTTCCTTGTACCCATTAGAGCTGCATTCAGTTCAGAAATTACTTCTCCACTGAGTTTCATTCCGCTTATCTTTGAAGATCGAGAAAGCAGATCTAAATCAAACAATAGCGGAAAGGGACTCTGGAATTGTTTCAAGAAGAAACTTGATGCACCTCTCAGACGATCGCGCGTGACTCCTTCGCTGATTACGTGAAGCGCATCCGCGCAGCACTGCGCGGGAGTGAATAAATCCATAGCGATCTGGCAAAGAGATCTGGAGAAAATTTGGAGAAAAGAAAAAGAGATCGAAGGCGAGGCAAGAAGCTTCAGGTTACTAGTCTTCTACGAAATTTTTCTGATTTCTTAGAATTTTTGAGTTTGATTGCTGATGTGTATCGTATTGGGGCGCCATCTAAATCTACTTAACCGGCTGCGCGGGCGGTCGCGTGGCGCCTCACTGCGTGCCGGGACCCAGGGCCCGCTTACTAGCGCTACTTCCATCGTGCTTGAGATGCTCTTGTTTGTCCCTACTGAGCGAGAAGAATGTTCAAAGAGACTTTGCCAGCAGGGATTACTCTTCACTTCCATATACCACGTTATCTGAAGCTCGTAAATTCCCAGGGACAAGCCAATTAATCAGGACTTCATACAGTTGTACTATACTTGCCTGTTTGTAAATGGGTGTTTTTCGAAAAGGTCACAGGCAGTGATTATGCTTGATGGAAAGCATCATTCTTTCTCCGCAGCTTTATTTGGGATTCATATTTGGGATGTTGTTATCCTGATACGTTTTCCAACTCCAAAGAGGCTCTTGTCGTTCATATGTTTAGCATGAGTATATACAGTCGATTCATTTCATATGATCATGTGTGTCACTGCACACACTGCTCACCTTTGGCGTTCCCATCCAGGACTTTTGGAGGACACAACCTTTCAGTTGGATGTTTTTGATATGTTCCCAATGTTTTCCTTTCTTCTTAGATAGTAGTCACCTCAAAGTGACGTAAGAGATAAGAAATGTCCGAAATCTTGCGTGTTTGCGACTGCAGTTCCAGGATGGGGACGCCAAAGTTAGACGGTGTGTGCAGTGACACACATGATCATTTGAAATGAATCGACTGTAGGTTTCATGACTAATAAGATGAATGTGTCAATGTGAATAGCAGTGCTAATGGTAAAGCTAACTGTTCATTTTCTTCTCAACAAGCGTCTCAGAAAAGAAGGGGACATGTTCAAGATTATGAGGCCTCAAACTCGTTCCTTCTTTCTCTCAAGCTGAACAGCGAATCACTTGAACTGAGTTAGCACGACTCGACTTTCTAATCACGAATTTACTGGCCTACAGTGAATGATAGCTCTAATACCCAAGTGAAAAGCAAGCTTGAGACAATAGATATGTCCAAAACTCCTTTCACAAGAGAAATCCTTCAACTTGCAAGAGGACATTTCCCTGGCCAAACTACAAGATATTAAGGGCATCTTTTCATGGAGTTTAAGCGAATCCCATGAGGCGAGCGGAGCATTTGCAGACATATGGACACGCTGAAAAACTTGTTGAATCTCTATTCTAAAGCAACTTTTCGTACTGTCTAGTCATCAAAAACCGCCGCATATATATCATGCGGCAATATGCTCCGCCCGCCATACTCTTGGGAGGTAGACGATATAAAAAAGGTACTTGGCACAATCAAAAATCATTGTTCGAAAATGTTTGGCAAATCTTCGCTAAGAAAAAGCGCCTATTTGCATGAGCTAGTAGAAACACGACAAAAACAATCATGTCCTGCTGTTTGATCCTATCTGAAACAAGGTATTGATTTGAGAGAAGAAAGTAGCATTTTGGTTAGTAGTGATGCCCAGCTACGTCTTTTCAAAACCTTTGACAGGGAAAGGTACTTGTCTCATTACTAGTAGAGCTGTCAACACAGCGAACCATACTAAAGCAAGGGCCTTTTCCATATACCTTTTCCATATACTTCATCTCCAGCAAGCGAGCGTGTCCTAAGTCCCGACGCGCTGTGATTGCGCACGCGCGACCGTCCGCGAAGCCGGTTAAGTAGATTTAGATGGGGCCTCGTATTGGTGGGTGTGCTACTTGTTGATCTTGTTGATGTTTGGTCCAATTTTGGTTAGAGAAAAATCAACTAGTTTTGCGTGACTGGACTTCGCCTCCATTTCATCACCATTCCGGTTCTCTCCAAGGTGAAGTCATTGGGCGAAGCCATATCTTGGCTTTGTAGCGTAATAAAGGGATATGATCGCCGCGATTCAATCGCTACAGACAAATGTTACGAGTTCATTGCATACCGATCTTCTTGTGATTCGGTTGTGACAGTTTTCCAACAACCACCAATCGTGACTAACTATCACAACCGAATTACGAGAAGATCGGCATGCAATGAACTCGTAACATTTGTCTGCAGCAAAAAGCTATTCTAAGGTTGTGGGGAAGCAGCATAAATAAGCAATAGCATAAATAAGTTCAGCGTTTTCAGAGAACATTTTAAACTAGGGACGCTTGTAGTGAAGACAGACAGAGATAAAGGTAAAAGGAGAAACAACAAGAAGATAGAGTTAAGAGCAGAGATAGCATGAAGAATGAAGAAGACGACAAAATATCCAAAAAAGCGTCCCATAACTTTTGGAAATACAGAGCAAGAGAAGAAAATACAACATTGGGAACACAAAATAACTGAGTGCTTACCTTTTTTTCTCTCAGTAGCCAGCGAAGAGCTTCTCCGAGTTGAAACTTGCACATGCGCGTTTGAGCAGTCGTGCGCCTCTTCTCCACTTGTTCACACCTGAAAAAGAAACACTTCATCACAAAGTACTGATAGAAAAGGCATGAACTTACCCCCAAACGAGATCCTACGCTGCGGCGTTATGTATTTCGACATCCGCTTCCTCATAGCGCGTGCCCTCGAAGCGTGGTCCCGTGCCGATCGGCTGGCTAGCACGACAAAGTTCGCCGGAACTTTGTATTTGATGTACTTCACGGGAACTTTGTCATCTTTGCCAAAGTTCCCACGGGCTTTCACCGGAACTTTGAATCCGCGGCTCCCGTGACGTCATAAATCACGGGAACTTTGTCATTTCTATACCCCAATGGTGAACAAGGTTCTCCGGAACTTTGATATTTTACGCATGTTCGCCGGAACTTCCCGCCGTTTGTCTGAGAGGGTATCAAGGCCTTCACAATTATTGCAACTTGAAACGTGAAATTTCTCCATAGGATTCGTTTTAGTGATATTTGAACCTGTGGGATATGCCTATTTCGATTTCTTTGTATTTATTGAGATCGCAAATTAAGTTTCGAGACTATTTTTGAAAAGTTGTATAAGATAATTTTGAAAGGCCACTGTAGAGATGCGAATGTAATGCATTGCAAGAGCTCTTTCTGCTGATGGTTCCAGCTCTTCCATAGGTTTGAAAAAAATTTCCATTTGGTGGTTGTTTCGTCCTTCGAGTAGTTGAGTTTAAAACCAATCTTTGACCACCTAAGTAGTAGCTGAGGCTAGTAGCGTGTCATTTTCGCCGTCGTCTTCTTCTCCTCTAGCCTTTTCCTTTTTGTATAGAGTTTTGCAAAAGCAACGGATTATCATTCAGATAGGAGAACAGATGCGAGAATCAGGCTTTGAGGGGCATCTAAAGGTAGATTAACAAAAGGAAACAACATATTTTCATATAAGTAGACCCCTGGTTTTCCATTGTTTAAAATCTATTTTGGTAACTTTGTGTAATGAATAGCCCAAAGTACAATGTGGGCAGTGTCGTCTATCTATTAGGCGTCCAAAAAGCAAAGCCTTTTCTAAATACACAAAAAGCAAAGCCTTATCTAAATACACAAAACGTTTTTGTTTTTATAGCAAAATTAGGGTGCCACCCGAAGCAAACTCTACAAATGACAACCAAAGATCAACCTAAATCGTAATCCGGGTAAAATTTGGAGTTAAAAATTGAATTTTTTTGTTAACTTTAGAAATGTTTTTTCTTCCAGAAAATTTATAGCATCTCCATCATGATCACCATATGGTAGACACATCATAGTATTAAAAGCTTTTGCTGGATTTTTCCGTGGCTCAAAATTGAGAAATAAAGTAGTTTGAAAAGCAAAAAAAGGTCACTTTTTGAATTTTTATGTCAAACTTGGTATTTACTGATTACCAGGGCACATACAAAGGTTTCAAAATTTTACTTACTAAGGTTAACCTTGAGAGAGGCTAGAGAGGAGTTTGCCATTTGTGAACAAACCTTTTTTAATTTCTATGCTCGGAAAAAATCCAGCAAATGCATCCATGAATACTACCATGTGTACACAGTACGACAACCAAATTGGAAGTTCGTAAGACTTTCTTCAAGAAAACCAATTTTTATGTTGATCGAAAAATTTAATTTTTGGCTCCAGATTTTACAGTAAGTTTCAACCAATTCTAGGCGGAAGTTCGACTGGCGGGAGTCCGCTTCGCAAATATTCGCGCCAATCTGCAGTCTGCGCTTCATTCTAATCTATCTCGCTAAGCCAGTGTGGCGGTGCGGACGCGCTGTTCCACTTGGAATGTTTCGCCTATTCCAGGTTGGAAAAGACTGTACCTGAATTACGAGTTAGTGGATCTTTGGTTGTCATTTGTAGAGTTCGCTTCGCTCTATGATTTGGGACAGCCTAATACTTCGCCGTCGAATTCACAGAGATTTGACCTGAGTCAAGGTTTCTGCTATCAATCAAGTGCACTTTCAAATGTATGGACAAAGACTTGACTTCCAATATCGAGCGATGTAGCACTGAAGCGCTATTTATAGAGGAATCAAATTCCTGTACTTCAAATAACTGAAGCTTGGAGTTATGCTCGTTTGAATGTTACGATAAAGAAATGCTGTAAATTGGTGCTGCTTGTTATGGTTCTAACCTTACAGGAGAGAAAGCAGTAATGGCTTCAAAACTTCATTTCCTGATCAAGGAAGTACTCTTTCTTGTCACCTTCCAGCTTTCCAGGCAATCCTAGTCAGTTCCAAGAAAATCTCTGCGCCATTGGTGAGGGCTTCGTTATATATTCTAGCTAAGTTCGTCCATGAAATCTCTGTACCCCCAAAGAGACAGAACAGCACTCCAGGGTACTTAGGGTTCTTGCTGTTTCCGCTGCCGTTGTCATTGGATTCTGGACCCATACACACACATCCAAACTTTCCATCGCTCTGAAAAATATTTTGTTTTTAGCAGAAAATAAAAGTTATCCATGTTAGGATGTAACTGTGCAAGGTCTCGTCAGATTTCGAAAAAATTTTAGGAGGTAAAAACCAAAGTTTATGTTTTTTTTGCCTCAAGAAAGATCTTTCCTTGATAAAAATTTAATGAAAATTAAATGATTTACCGGTGAATCAACGTTTCGGACATTCATGGGTACACTTGCTGCAGGTTCTCGCAGCCAAAAATCAAAAACATCATGGGCTAAATTTGGCAAAAATCTTTGCGCCTCTCGTCTATCTATCTACAAGATGTACTCCAAAACATATAAATTTAACACTTTACAGTACCGACACTGTCTTCGTAAAAACTGCGCAAAAATGCACTGTGGCGCCTGAAAAGCCACTTTCCTTCATTTGCCACAGGCTCGTTTTGTTTCGGAGAAGTTCGCAGAGAATGTGAGGTAGAAGACGATTGTCTACACGCAATTTTGCATGTTGTTTGTTGTCTTGCTAATAGCAGTAGTGATTTCTAAGCTTCTTTTTCTGCGATTGTGTTGCGCACTACAACAAAAGCATAAGTGAGCAAGTGATTATGGCGCTATCACATCTATTTCAATGTTTACGAATGTGAGCATCATTATACCGTTTTCAGTTGCGGTCCATAAGTGACAGCTGCCTGTTTAGCAATCATTCCGGACGACCAGTCTGGACTAAACAAAAGAAACATCGAAAAAATCTTACGAACAATACACATCAAACTTACTCGTAAAAAACGGGAACACATTGTGACTTCTTCCCATCAAGACATGACTGAGCTTCCGTTTCCAGCCCGAATTCCCCGGATGAGTATTGCTAGAAATACGGGGCTCGAAAATGCAGATATGGTCATGCATTTTTGAAAACTTTCACTTTAAGCTCAAGAACGTTTATCTGTTACAGGTTTTAATGTAGTTGCAACTCACATATTGGGCTTTAGTATTCTTTTGTTCTTTACTTTCTAACTGAAATGCACTCAGCAGTTGAATCCACCCAGCTTCACTTGGTTTTTGTTCGCTAGAATTGCAGAATGGCTGCTGACTAGTTGCTAGACTCAGTACAGACATTGACTGAAAGTGCACGATGGATAATGCTGGATCAAAAGGTTTCTAGTGATTTGAGAAAACGATCTACCACAAGAACTACGAAGACCAGACACATCATCTCGAATGATTTGCTGCGCGAGCTTCCACTTTTTATACTGAAACCGATGCGTTAGCAACAAAAGCGTAATTTCATCAATGATTGCTTAACACTTCACAGAAGTAGAAGATATTACTGAATTTTGACTTTTTGCTCAATGACAATTCATTATTATTACAAAAGCTCCTCTGTTGAAAAGTACAAGTACTTCAAAACTTTTATCGCACTAAGAGGATTTTGTTTCTAGATCGAGGCACGCTAAGAGCAATTTTGCTAATCTTTAGCATGCTATAAATTAAAGCCACGAAACCTTTGATATAGTTGGCCGATAAACTGTACTCTATCGAAAAACACGGCACGAAGAGGGCGAAGAAAAAGGAGTTGTTTACATATTACATGAATTCCAAATTCAGTAAAGCTAAGTAAGGAAATATTAGGGTTCTTCCATTATCTGAACCCATTTTCTCAAAAAAAAAGGTTATTGCTTTCTTTCCTGTACCAAGTCTGGCCAAAAATTCACAGGATGGAGAGTCAACCTCGTGCATGTGTCAAAGAAAATTGGTATGTCATCTACATATTGAACAGGTTCATATTGGATAGGACCAAAAGTTTGTTCGCCAATTTTTCAGAAATTCATAACTTCCTTTCGATTCAATGGATTTCTTAGACTTCGAATTCATTTGAAAGAGGAAACCGTTCTCTTAACAGCGGCACATTTGTTATAAATTGGCATGAGAAAATTCGGAAGTTAGACGCAAATAAAGGAAATTACTCCAATTTTACAACTTCTGAGCATGCTCAAAAAACCCGAAACGTCAAAGAAAATGAAGGGAAAGTTATGAGCACTGGTTTTGTGACATTCTCTTTCTAGCTGACAGAAATTCTTGCTCATCGAAAGCAATTCGTTTTCGTAATTTTCTCGGACTTTGATTCTGCCTTTTTCACAGAAATCAAAATTGCACTCTATTGACACGAGTTTCTCTCAGCTAAGAAAGAGAAGTTCAAGAAACTCGTGCTCATGTCTCTTTTCCGTGACGTTTCTTGGCTTCTTTGAGCATGGTCAAAAAATGCGAAACTGGAGTAATTACCTCTATTTGCTTCTAATTCTCGATTTTTTCGTTTTAATTGGTGGGAAAGGAATTTCAGCAAAGAGCATAACTGTCTTTATTGAACGAAAATACTTTCAGAGTTTTTGTCACCCTGCTTGAAAAATGCCACTCCTGAGTAATTTTATTCAATTGCTTCTAACTCTCTAACTTTCTCATACCGATTCATGGCAAAGGTGCTGCGGAAGAAGAGAGGATTTTTTAGATAAGTATAAAATCTAAGAAATGCATCAAATGGAAAGGAAGTTATGAATTGAAAAATTGGCGGATGAGATTGCGGACCCACCTAATAATATATTAGGTTGTCTCAAAAGTAAACTCATTCTTTGAAAAATATAAGCTGTTTTTGCTTTCCTATCAGACTTGGGGCACCAATCGATAGAGCAGCTTAAGCTCTACAAAATGACCACCAATGGTCCGCCTAGCTCGCACTCCACATAAAGATTAAAATCAAAATCGAAAAACTTTTGACATCTAAAAACCGGACTTTTAGGAAAAGCTCTACGGAACTACAGCTTGGTCGTTGTGTAGTAAGCACACAGTAGTATTCGAATATGCCTTCAAGGAGTTTTTTTTTCGCGCGTAGAAAGCGAGAAATAAATGACAGTCCAAAAGTAGCAAACTCCGCCCCCAGCCCCTCCCACAGATGTCATTGTATACTACAAGCCTTACTAAGTTTATCAAATATCACTGTATGTGCTCTCATAATCGAGAAATATCAAATTTTACATTGAAAAAACCGAAGAAAGTGGCATTTTGCATTTTCGAACCATCTTTGTTTCCCAAATTTGAACGCCGAATTTTCCGGAAGGAGGTCCGATTTTTAAATTAACTCAAAAATTTCGATTTTTGCCTCCAAATTTTGCCTGGATTAGAATTAGGCCCGTATGCACGTACATTCTCGCTGGGGAGGGGAAGGAAACTAGATCCCCAAGGGAACGATCCCCTTCATTGAACCCCCGCTATGCCAGAGGGGAAGGGAGCGATCCTCTCCCCTGCTTCTACCGCGGGGATGGTGTCATTGCGGCAGTCGCATCTGGCTCCGGCTACCGAAGAACACACCAAAAAACTTTTTTCAGCCAATTTTTTGTGTACTAGAATGGCTTTTGCCACGAAATATACAAGAATAGTGATTTTGAGTGCCTTTGTTCCGTTTCCCCGTCTTCTCCTTTCTTTCATTTTACCCCTCCCATTGTATCTCTCTCCGTCGCTCTCTTCTTCTTTTACCTATTGCTGGTTTCTAAAGCTTTTTGCACTCGTTACGTGCTGTCGAATGTTGATTTCTGAAGCGTTGTGATATTTAACAGTTTATGTTATGGTTTCCTAGCAATTATATTACGGCTTACCAATCCCATAGAAGAATTCATGAATATGCAGTTTTGTAGTTTGTGTGGTTTTCTCAACGTTTGCCAGCCATTTCTTTGCGGTACTCTTTCGCTGGCACAAACTTGGTATTTGATTTCGGGGGTGTCGATTTGGCGATCCCCAGTGGCGATCCCTTTACTTCCCCTCCCCGTATGCACGAATGTAGCTCATCAAAGCAGGGGAGGGGATCGACATCACCCGCAGCGGAATAGGGGTTCGATGGTGTAGATCATGCCAGAGAAACAGGAATTCGGGTTATAATCAGTTATTACCAAGTATTTCTTTTGATTTGATGACAAATTTTCTTTGAAGACTGGGTTCGTCTTTCAGCGGCCTGTAGCTTGCAGTCTTGTCTTTCTTTTGTATATTCGCCTCTCGAGAAGAAACTCGAGCAAAAATAGCTGCCAATTTCGAATATTTGCAGTAGTTCTTGATCATCCAAAAAATTGCGCTCACATAATATGATAGTTTTGACCATATAGGCTGAGGAGACACATTGTAGCTATCGTATTATATAATATATTGTCTTTATCTTGTTAATTTAACAGAAGTTGCCTTGGAAAAATCTAGAATGTAGCAGATTTGCCTAATTTTGAGTAGAGATCCCCAAGGGAGTGATCCCCCCCCCCCAGCGTTCCACTCGTGCATAACAGCGATGATCGCTGGAGGTCATTCCCTTGGGGGAATGGACGGTATATCGCTAATAGCTACAGCCTCCATGAGGAGCTGGCACGGTCTGCAGCTCGGTACCCCTCCTTTTTTCAGCACTGTAACGTCTTCTACCCATTCACTGCAAGACATCCTGGATTCTATTGTTGCACACCGTTACGCTGGAATGGGCAGCATGGCGGAAAGTGACCAACAGTTATGAAAACAGCACGAATCTAATGGGCTAGGAAGTATTTTTTGGTGCGCGGACCGCAATCACAGCAGACAAGCATACCGCAACGACTAAAGAACTGCCGATGACAAAACGAAAACGACTAGCTGTCGAAAGATGAGAACGGAGGACAATCCATACTGTTCTATAAAGCGCTAGCACCCCCATGTGAGTCAGCCTGTATGTCTGTTCCGCGATTGTTTACCACTAATGGCAGTGTGCGCCGAGGCAAAGTGCAAAGTGATAGCATGAATGTCTTTTCTGCGATTGTTTACCACTAATGGCAGTGTGCGCCGAGGCAAAGTGCAAAGTGATGAGCATCAACGCTGCCTTTAGACATTTTCGAATATGCTCCTCAGCGATGTTTATGAAGTGTCACGAGCAACGAAACTAACGCCACTTGAGCCATTGAACTGATTGCTCCTATTGCGTTGATGGCATTCGCTTCATTTTGAAAATCACTAAGTAGATTGGATAGACTGACATTCTCTACATCTCACCATTAAAGCAACTTCGAATCACGCCTTAGAAGAATATTCTCATTAAGCTTTATGAGTTTTGCTTCAATGACGTATTTCTTTCCCACGATAACATGGAGATTTTATTTTTCAGCTTCTGCAAAAGAGGCGCACACATGTTAAGCCAAGAATCTTACATCATCTCCTATCTCATTAGCTCATCTTCAGTAATGCTTCGCTCATTTCTACGGGATGTGATTATTGGAATGTCATGACGTTCTTATTACTCGAATTTTCCAACAAATAACATTCTGGATCAATAACAATTCAAACCATCATTACATTAAGACTTGGCCAATGCTATCAATTACATTCTCAGCTCTTTCAATTATTATTAAACAGTGAAATTTTGTTATCTTGCAAACATTATTAGCCTTTTGTGATTGTTCAATGAATCACTATTCAAAATTTTTATGATTTTCGTAAACAGAATTACTAGAAGTAAAAATGTAGTTACAATGCTTTGCGAACTAATGTGCTCTTTATGGACATTGTGCAATTGGACTCTGCTCAAGGTCTGAGCCGTTGAAGCATTTGATATGTGAACTTGCATGCGAATTTAATCGATTTTAGGCGTAGCCGTACTTTCGGTCAAAACGAAAGATGTGCAACCCTTCACAGACCCGAGTCAATTTCCTGTCTTCAGCTTTATAAGAATGAGCCAAAAATTTCATAAATCTACGTGAATGATCTCATTGTCAGATAATGCTGAGATATCAACTGAATTTCTACTGAATGATGTAATTTGAAAACTGTTGGCCTTTTCTCCATTGCATCTAAAGATTTTAGCTGAATGCTATGGTAATAAAAAATCGTTTTAAAGTTTTTTGGTTGATTTTCAATTAGTTTATCTGATTTATCAAATTCATTCGTCAGAGAGATTGACATCGTAGCATTTTTCTGATAACGAAAATAATTCATTTTCATTAAATTTAACCGACAACCCAATTTCTTTTCATTCTTTCTACATTTGAAGAACGACCCTCAGAAAATCTTTGATCCGTTGTGATTTATTTTTAGCTGAATGCTGTGACGTTTGAGAAATTGTTGCAATATTTGCTGATTATAAATTCTACTTCATCTTACTTATCCACGGTGAGTCTTTATTGAAGTTGCGCTTTGATCTACTTCTCAGTCACTCCAAAATTAATT